TCAGCCTGCAGCAAGAGGAATTCACACATGATCTCCGTGCAGGCGTAGGCAGCAGATGCTGCATGGCACGGGGCATTCAAGCAGCCATGTGGCGTCCAATGTGACCGCATGTGGTTGTGCAGCAATGCTCATGAGCTCTCCAGGAGCATCGGCGTCCCACACCACACGCGATCCCCAAGGGCAGCCCGTGCAGGAGGGTCTCAACCGTGTGTGCACGCACCACCCATGCGTCCCGACGCCCAGGTGTGCTGGCGGGAGCGACTCGAACAAAGGGCCCCGTGTGGCGTGTGGAACCAACATGACGACCACAACCAGCAGGGCACGCTACTCAAACCAGTGTGGTGAGGCTGTCGCTTGCAGGTGGCGGCGTCCGTCGGCGGTGGACGTGCGCTTCTATAGGCGATGCCCCATCCTGCCTTGTGGGGTGTGCCTGGCCTCGTGATGAGTGTTGGGTACACAACCCATAGTGTGTGTCCATTGTGGATGTTTCGAACATCTGCCCTGCTATGCCCCCGCCACCTGCTGCAACCCACACTGCAGTTCCGCAGCCGGGCAGCGGCCTCTTGAGCGACGAAATCAACGCAGGCGCCTGCCCTGTGGGCTATTACTCATACGGCTATGCCAGGAAGCCTTGCCTGGCCTGCCCTAGAAGCTTCACCACGGCCGGGGCCGGCGCCAGCAGCCGCTGGAAGTGTGGTGGGTGTTTGCGCTCTTTTAATCTTGCTTCCTTGCAGCACAACCATGCACCAGCTGGTGGTCATATCTTCCCATCCTTTCTGGGACCATGTGCAAGACCGGCTACCACACAGCTTTCACATCGCTCCCACGATGGCAGCTGAATGGCGCGTTTGCCTAGGTTGAGGACCTTTTGCAGCACACGGTTGGTGGATTGACCTCCGCTCTCAGCTGCTCACAAAGTTGCTCTCACCATCCTGTCTTGCATCGCAGCCACCCCACCTGGCTACCGATACAGCGACGAGCAGGCTGTGCCCTGCGGTTTTGGCGCCTGGAAAGCCAGTGTGGACTTTGCAGTGGCGTGCACTCCTTGCAGCCCAGGGCGGACCACGGCCACGGCCACATCATCCCAGGCCTCAGACTGCAGCCTGGCAAAGCCAGGGTACCGCCTCATCAAGAACGGCAGCACCGTCACGGGCGCTGTGGCGTGCGCCGCAGGAACGTGAGCTAATCTGTGCGAGCATGAAAGCCCTGGACGGGGCTGACAATAAATCGCAAAGGTCTGCGTGTTGCTGACCTGTGCACCTGAGACACTCAGCAAACCAATGGCTGAGAGCATTTGCAGCATTTACCATTGCAAAGAATTGCAACCAACCCCAACAGGAGGTGTACAGGACCTTGTTTGCTTTCAGTGATTTGTAATGCATGCACGTCAACACTCCCCCATGTCCCACCTGCAGGTACAGCGCGGGCGGTGACGTCACCTCCTGCACCTCCTGCCCAACCGGGACCACCACAGTGTGCCGGACATGCAACGATGTGACTGACTGTATCGTGGACTCAGGATACGGTGCGGACCGCAAGTCTAGGGCGCTGCCAGTGAGCTGCCACACTCATACCCCAATCGACCCCCCCTCTTCCAGATTGACCACCAGCTTCCCTACTGCATGCGACCTGCAGGGATCAACGCCACCACATTCGCGGTCTCTATATGCCCCGTCAACACATACAAGCAGTCCCTGGGCAGCGTGTCCTGCACAAGCTGCGGCAGCGGACTGCGGACTGCGAGCGCCGGCTCCACCAGCTACAATGCCTGCTGTGAGAAACCGCGCAAGGTCAGGCTGTGCGTAGTGCGTCCTTGTACGACCGAAGATTTTGCAACCTGTGTCCCCAACGCTGCATCTGACAACGCCTGCCACTGGCCTGTGCAACCACAGATATCCCAGTTGGTTGGGGCGCAACTGTTGTGTCGTACAGCAGTGGGGAGCTGGAGGCGACACGTTGCACCAGTGAGCTGGGGCGCAATCATCCAGGCATTGTATGCGCACACACGCCGGATCCCAGTCTCACAGTCCCTGTTGCAGTGGCTCATCAAGCACACGAGAACTTCAGCCTCGCTCATGCCTAAGGAGTTTGTGCCCATCTGCAAGCAACAACTCTATGCCGTCTCCAAGCCAAGGCGGTTTGATCTTCCTGCCTTATTGCTATAACCATTCACAACCGCAGCGGGGACATACGGCGCCTCTGTACCTGCCTACGGTCCCGTTGGCAGTAATTACGCGTGCCAGAAGTGCCCCCTCTACATGACCACCAACGACACGAACCCCGCGTTGTCGGGGCTTGAGCAGGCCGCCGTGGTCAACAGCGGGCCCACCAGTTGCCTGGTTCAGCCCGGGTATGGCGTCAGTCCAACAACAAGCCTCGTCTATATTTGCCCTGCAAACACTTACAGCACTGGCTACACACGAGATGCGTGCGCCAGCTGCGGCACAGGCCTGCTTACCGCGGGGACCGGCTCAACCAGCTACAGCGCGTGCTGTGAGTTGCGGTTTGGACATCCCGTTGAAAAGCCTTCCCTGACGAACAGGCGTGGCAAACGCGCCGTGCTGCTCACATTCAGACGATGCCCTGCAAAGGAGAAGCCACTCACAAGCGACGCCACCAGCTGGGTGCCAGCATCCTGCAGTCCCAGCCTTGTGACGCCCCGCCCTTAGCGCAGCATACCAACCGCCCCACCCCCCTACGCCTGGCATCTCCATCCCCTGCATTGCCGCAGACGTTCCTGTGGGCTATGGCACCAGCATTGTGACCAGCAGTCCCCTGGTCCTCAGCGCGTCAAGATGCACAGGTCAGCATAGTAACCCTTTGCTGCAATCCCTGCGTAATAGTTCGTCCAGAAAAGCCTGAGTGAGCGCGAGGTCCATTTGCGGTCGGCAAAGGCTGCTTCTTGCGCCTCCCCCATCCCAGGTGGGACCTACGGCGTCAGCTCTGCTGTCTACGGCCCAACAGACAACACCAACACCTGCCAGAGCTGCCCCAGCGGCATGACAACACAGGACACCAACCCTGCGTACTCGGGGGTACAGCAAGCCGCCGTCATCAACAACGGCTCGGGCTCCTGTGTCAACAGCGCGGGCTATGGGTACAACTCGTCATCAGGCCTGGTGTACCTGTGCGCTGCAAACACCTACAGCCCTGGCTACACACAGACGGCCTGCAGCAGCTGTGGCACCGGGCTGCTGACGGCCAGCACCGGGTCAACGAGCTACAGCAGCTGCTGTGAGTGGCGGGACTGGATAGCTCAGTAGGACCGGTCGTTGGCACTGCTTTTCGGTCATGGCCGCTGCGCAACATGCTCAGATGGGCTTTGGCAAAACTCAGCACCACTCTGGTGGTGGCCCACTCACTGAACATTTGTTTTCCCCACTCTGCTGCAGACGTTCCTGTGGGCTACGGCACCAGCATTGTCACCAGCAGCCCTTTTGTCCTCAACGCGTCACGATGCACGGGTCAGCATCAGTACCCATGGAACTGCATGTGTGCCAACCGCCCATGTATGCCCATGCTATGACAGCGGCTATCACCAGTCTATGCTTCGCGCTGTCTGCCTGGCACGAGCTTGCATTGCCCTCACACTTCTGCGCCAGGTGGGACCTACGGTGTCAGCTCTGCTGTCTACGGCCCAACTGACAACAGCAACACCTGCCAGAGCTGCCCCAGCGGTATGACCACACAGGACACCAATCCTGCATACTCGGGGGCGCAGCAAGCGGCTGTCATCAATGGGGGGTCCGGCTCCTGTGTCAACAGCCCTGGCTATGGGTACAACTCCACATCAGGCCTGGCGTACCTGTGCGCCGTTGGCACCTACAGTGCTGGCTACACACAGGCGGCTTGCAGCAGTTGCGGCACCGGCCTGCTGACGAACAGCACCGGGTCAACCAGCTACAGCAGCTGCTGTGAGTGGCGGGTTGGGAGGGTCCGTGTGAGCTGAGGCACCTTGGCGCTTACTCAAGTATCGTTGCATTTTTGCTGGTGTTCGTGACAACCTGGGTCTCTGGCTGGGGTCAGACCATACTTATCCGATGAGCTGCCTTATTCACACACCGCAATCCCTGATTTTGTGCCGCGTTCTGATTTCTCGACCCTCACCGCCACTGCAGATGTGCCTGTGGGCTACGGCACGAGCGTTGTGACCAACAGCCCCCTGGTCCTCAGTGCGTCAAGATGTACAGGTGGGCCCGGCACCCCTTTGAGCTCTAGAAACATAACAATAATTATGCAGGATCATTTGCGCTGTAGCCACAGCTTAGCCTGACGCTTCTGGCTTGTCACTCCCTCAGGTGGCACCTATGGCGTCAGCTCTGCTGTTTACGCCCCCACAGACAACAGCAACACCTGCCAGAGCTGCCCCAGTGGCACGACAACACAGGACACCAACTCCGCGTACTCGGGGGCACAGCAAGCGGCTGTCATCAATGGGGGGTCCGGCTCCTGTGTCAACAGCGCTGGCTATGGGTACAACTCCACATCAGGCCTGGCGTACCTGTGCGCTGCGAACACCTACAGCGCTGGCTACACACAGGCAGCATGCAGCAGCTGCGGCACTGGGCTGCTGACAGCCAGCACCGGCTCTACAAGCTACAGCAGCTGCTGTGAGTCAGGGGTTGGGCTGGTGTGGGTGAATGCACTCCCAGTGGTCCTGTCTGATGCTTGGTGGCGACGCATCATGTGGCGACCTCCGCAAGCCGTCTTCACACCGCTTTCGTATCATGGTTTCTTGATCTTCGCCCACAATCCACGGTTGCTTGCTTCGCTGACTTTCCAGCACATCAACTCTTACTGATGCTGCAGATGTGCCTGTGGGCTATGGCACCAGCATAGTGACCAGCAGCCCCCTGGTCCTCAGCGCGTCAAAATGCACAGGTGAACGCCAGCACTGCTTTGAGCGCTCAGCTATGGAACCACTGTTTGGCCAACTGCGCCATCAGCATCCCCAAAGCGTAATCTGACGCTTCTGACATAATTCTCCTCAGGTGGCACCTATGGCGTCAGCTCTGCCGTGTACGACCCAACTGACAACAGCACCGCCTGCCAGAGCTGCCCCAGTGGTACGACCACACAGGACACCAACCCTGCATACTCAGCGGGGCAGCAAGCCGCCGTCGTCAACGCCGGTCTGGGATCCTGCGTCAACATCGCCGGCTATGGTTTCAATTCATCTGGCATGGCGTACCTTTGCATTGTTGGCACCTACAGCCCTGGCTACACACAGACGGCCTGCAGCAGCTGCGGCACTGGGCTGCTGACGGCTAGCACCGGGTCAACCAGCTACAGCAGCTGCTGTGAGCGGCAAGGCGGGAGGGTCGGGGTGGGCGGGCGCACCTTGATGCGTGCTCATGGGCGTTGGGATTGCCGGTATTTCTGGTCATCTGGGCCTGCGAGCGTGATCAGGACCTACTCATCAATTGACCTGCCTTTGTCACCAGCTCACAAACCCTTGTTTATTGCCAAGCTTCCATTGTCTCGACCCTCATTTCTGCAGACGTGCCTGTGGGCTACGGCACCAGCATCGTGACCAGCAGCCCCCTGGTCCTCAACGCATCAAGATGCACAGGTGAGCGCCAGCACAGTCTGAAGTGCTTAACTTGCAATCTACTCTTCTGCAGGGAATCACTGTGCTGTCAGCGCTGCGACAGCGCAAGCTGACGCTCCTGGCTTATTGCTACCTCAGGTGGCACCTACGGCGTCAGCTCTGCTGTCTACGGCCCAACTGACAACAGCAACACCTGCCAGAGCTGCCCCAGCGGGATGACCACACAGGACACCAACCCTGCGTACTCGGGGGCACAGCAAGCCGCCGTCATCAACAACGGCTCGGGCTCCTGTGTCAACAGCGCTGGCTATGGGTACAATTCCACATCAGGCCTGGCTTACCTGTGCGCTGCCAACACCTACAGCCCTGGCTACACTCAGACGGCCTGCAGCAGCTGTGGCACTGGGCTGCTGACAGCCAGTACTGGGTCAACGAGCTACAGCAGCTGCTGTGAGTGGCGGGTTGGTGTAGGCGAATGCGACCCAGTGGTCTTGGCTGATGCATCACAGTGCTGCATGTGTAGAAAACGTCTTCAAGCTGCTTTTTCATCGCTTTCCTGCATGGGATACTGGTGCAACCCGCGCTAGCCCATTGTAGCGTGCTGTGCTGGCTCACTCAATGCATCAACTCTCTTCGCCGCAGACGTGCCCGTGGGCTACGGCACCAGCATTGTGACCAGCAGCCCCCTGGTCCTCAACGCATCAAGATGCACAGGTGAACGCCAGCACTGTTGAACGTGCTCAATTTTCGGCTTGAGTTTGGAATAAACTGCCTTGTGACATGCTTTGCCACAGCCTTGGCTGACGCTTCTAGCATAACCCCTCTAGGTGGCACTTACGGCGTCAGTTCAGCTGTCTACGGCCCAGCTGACAACAGCAACACCTGCCAGAGCTGCCCCAGCGGCACAACAACACAGGACACCAACCCTGCGTACTCGGGGGCACAGCAAGCCGCCGTCATCAACGGCGGATCTGGCTCCTGTGTCAACAGCGCTGGCTATGGGTACAACTCCACATCAGGCCTCGCGTACCTTTGTGGTGTTGGCACGTACAGTGCTGGCTACACTCAGACGGCCTGCAGGAGCTGTGGCACTGGGCTGCTGACAGCCAGTACTGGGTCAACGAGCTACAGCAATTGCTGTGAGTGGCGGGTTTAGAGGGTAGCGGTGCGCTGGCGCACCTTGGCTCTGGTGGAGGTATGTGGTTCGCTACCACACGACCTGTGGGCCTCTGGCTGGCAGGGAACAGCCTTCACTTGCTTCTTCCTGCTTTGATGAGCCCCAGCGTTGCTGAGTCTTCATCCACATTTCCTTATCTCTGCAGACGTGCCCATTGGCTATGGCACGAGCATCGTGACAAGCAGTCCCCTGGTTCTGAGTGCATCAAGATGCACAGGTGAGCATCAGCACTGTTGTGAGGAGTCACCGCGAGCTCCTCAGCAAAATGGAAGCCACCTGGTGTACGCTTAGCCGCAGTCTTGTCGCCACAAGCTGTCGCTCTCATTGCATTACTCTCCCGTCCCAGGTGGGACCTATGGCGTCAGCTCTGCTGTCTACGGCCCAACAGACAACAGCAACACCTGCCAGAGCTGCCCCAGCGGCACAACAACACAGGACACCAACCCTGCGTACTCGGGGGCACAGCAAGCCGCCGTCATCAACAACGGCTCGGGCTCCTGCGTCAACAGCGCTGGCTATGGGTACAACTCCACATCAGGCCTGGCGTACCTTTGCGCTGTTGGCACGTACAGCGCTGGCTACACACAGGCCGCCTGCAGCAGTTGCGGCACTGGGCTGCTGACGAACAGCACCGGGTCAACGAGCTACAGCAGCTGCTGTGAGTGGCAGGTTTAGATAGTGTAGGTGTATGCAACCCAGTGGTTCTGGTTGATGCTTGCTGATGCTGCATCCAGTGCAAGCTTTCACATGGCTTTACCATCGTGGTATCTTGTGCCCATCCCTTAAGCCATGGTGGCTTGCTTTGCTGACTCTCCCATCGCATTTATCCTCTCTGCTGCAGACGTGCCCGCGGGCTACGGCACCAGCATTGTGACCAGCAGCCCCCTGGTCCTCAGCGCATCAAGATGCACAGGTGAGCATCAGCACCGTTGGAAGTGCTCAACTTTTGGCCTGAGTTTTGAATGAACTGCCTTGTGACATGCTTTGCCACCGCTTTGGCTGACGCTCCTGGAACAACCCATTCTAGGTGGAACCTATGGCGTTAGCTCTGCTGTCTATGGACCAACAGACAACACCAACACCTGCAAGAGCTGCCCCAGCGGCACGACAACACAGGACACCAACCCTGCGTACTCGGGGGCGCAGCAAGCGGCTGTCATCAACAACGGCTTGGGCTCCTGTGTCAACAGCGCCGGCTACGGGTACAACTCCACGTCAGGCCTGGCTTACCTGTGCGCTGTAAACACTTACAGCCCTGGTTACACACAGGCGGCCTGCAGCAGCTGCGGCACTGGGCTGCTGACAGCCAGCACCGGGTCAACGAGCTACAGCAGCTGCTGTGAGTGGCGGGTTGGGCGAGTTGAGTTGGGTGGATAGGCTCCAGTGCTAGAATGGTACAGCTGCAAATGATGCTGAGCTTTGGCTATGAAATTCTACAGGACTTCATGCTCTTGAAAAAGTGGTCTCAACACGCCCCTTGTTCAGCACTTGCTGACGTTTCTGCCGATTCCTTTGCCACAATATGATCTTCTGCAGACGTTCCTGTGGGCTACGGCACCAGCATTGTCACCAGCAGCCCCCTGGTCGTCAACGCGTCACGCTGCACAGGTGAGCATCAGAACTGCTGCAAAGGCTCAGCCTGCAACCCCATGTTCTGCAGAATATTCCTGCTATCTGCTCTGCAAGTATGCCTACAATAAGCCGACACCTTGACATAACTCGCCGCAGGTGGCACCTATGGCGTCAGCTCTGCTGTCTACGGCCCCACTGACAACAGCAACGCCTGCCAGAGCTGCCCAAGCGGTATGACCACGCAGGACACCAACCCTGCGTACTCAGCGGGGCAGAAAGCCGCCGTCATCAACAATGGCTTGGGCTCCTGCGTCAACAGCGCCGGCTATGGGTACAACTCCACGTCAGGCCTGGCGTACCTTTGCACTGTTGGCACGTACAGCGCTGGCTACACACAGGCGGCCTGCAGCAGCTGTGGCACTGGGCTGCTGACAGACAGCACCGGGTCAACGAGCTACAGCAGCTGCTGTGAGTGGCAGGACGGGATGGGCGGTGGAGGTGTCTGGCTGGGGCCACGTCGGCGCTGGTATCCTGATGGATAAGGGGTCTGGACTCGCGTTGTTGCAGACCTGGCCCCTGATGTTCGCCCTGACTTTCCCGTCCTTGTTTTCCGCAGTGTCCAGCAGCTGTATGTTGCATGCGTGCGCTGATGATGCCCCCTAACATCCACCCTCACTGCCGCTGCAGACGTGCCCGTGGGCTACGGCACCAGCATCGTGACCAGCAGCCCCCTGGTCCTCAACGCATCACGCTGCACAGGTGGGCTGCATAAGGTTATTTGCACACCTGTCCTCAGCGCATTGCTGTATTTGTTGGCATGGACCACGCAGGCAGGCCTCTGCTCAAAGGAGGCCCCCCCCGTTATGGGCTCCTACCTCGTCTCAAACGCGCCCTGCCCCCTTCCCAGGTGGAAAGTATGGCGTGAGCTCAGCGGTGTATGCCCCAACCGACAACAGCAATGCCTGCCAGAGCTGCCCCAGCACCATGACAACGCTGGATACGTGGAGCGCACTCACTACAGCACAGCGATCGGGGATTGTCAACGGCGGCTCCAGCAGCTGCGTCACCGCACCCGGCTACGGCTACAACTCTGGCACCAACACCGCCTCCCAGTGCTCAGCCGGCACCTGGTCTTTGGGGTGGACACGGGAGCCTTGCCAAGCCTGTTACACAGGTGTGCTGCCTATCTCATGCGCCCTCTGCCAGCGCAGGCCATCTGGCCTGGGCTGGGCCACCAGATGAATGGAAAATGCAGGGTTGCTGCTATGATTGCAGCATGAACTGCATCGTGGCTGAGGTGTTGCCGTGGGATGTGTGTGTGGCCCTTGCAGGCTGCAAGCTTCCCAGCTCTGAGATTCAGCATGCCGAAGCTTGTGACTTTTGAAGGAGCCATTTTTCAATACTGGTGCCTAACGGGCTCTGCGTCTCTGACCTTCCCATTCGCAGGCTTCACATCGACTACCGGCGCCACCTATTGCAGCAAGGCGTGTGTCCTGATCCTTGTCACACTCACCTGCGGGCCCCTGCCCATTGGATACGGCGGTGTGCAACAATCACTGCTGTCCACCTGGGACATCACCAAGTGCATGGCTGGGACGTATGGCAGCCCCACGTTACTCAGCAGCATCGTGGCCCTTGGAATGCCTTGCACTGCCTGCCCGACTGGCATGACCACACCTGACACCAACCCAGCTCTTGCGTCGTCAGTGCGGATTGCGTTTGTCAATGACGCCTCGTCAGACTGCGTCACGCAGCCTGGGTATGGGTGGACTGGCAGCGTCGCGGTGGCCTGCACAGCGGGAACCTACTCAGCTGGCTACACGCTGAATGCCTGCGCAACGTGCCCTAATGGTAAGTACGCAAGGCTGTTATCCATTGGTTATCAGATGCGGGTCAGCAGGTGTACTGGGGCCCGCACGTGTCGTTGATCAAGGGGGGCCATCGGAATGGCCTTAGCTCAATAAACGCAATGCTGCGCATCGTTTCCCGCCTGCAGGCACAACTTCCGGCGCTGGTGCGTCGAGCTGCGCCTAAAGCGTGCTGCGGGAACCTCACACATGCCAGAATGTGGCCTGTGCTGTGCCGAAGTGCGGCTTTCATCTGCACAGCACAGTCGTGGAGGGGGCGTCAACGGGCCTGCATATTTCTTAGGCAGGCAGCGGACCACTCCCAGCGCGATCCATTGTGTTGCACCCTTGTTGCATGCCGCTGTGCTGAAGCAGGTGAATATATCATTGATTTCAAGCTGCACATACGCTTTGCACTCTGCGACAAGACGTGCCTCTTTGGGCTGACGGCCCTGGGAGTTGAACATACCAATGACTGCTTACACACACTGCGATACGCTGTCAGTTGGGTGACTGCGCTACGCTTCCAGTTGGGTCGCTGACAGCTTGGGTTTCGCCCGCTGCACCCGGCCCTCCTCTTTGCGCCCATGTCGCGAGAGGCTGAATACTATAGTCACCTGTGGTTTTGGGGCTTGCTGCGGCTGCATTTATTGCGCAGCAGCTCACGCCACCATGCGTCGGTTGTATAACGTTATAACGTTATTCAGTGGTATACCCCCACTGATATACCCCCACTTGCCGTGGCGTGCCGTCATCTCGGCGGGACTGCCTGTGGGGAGTCACACACTGCTATCGTCAGCCTCCCCGTGACTCATCCGAGGTGGCTGTGCCATGCATGGCGTGCCTGGCTCCTGCCTTGTTGCATCTCCCGTGGCCTTTGGGAGAGCTGAGCCCAACACATTTTGCCCTCTCAGCATTCATGCGCGCTTTTATGTGCAGCACCTCCTTGCGTTGGATTCTAACAAGCTGCTGGCTCAATGATGTGAGAATCGATCGCGGTTTGTGTCACCCCCCCCCACAAGCCTCCCATGTCCATGAATCCTGTTGCCACCGTCGAGAAACGCGAACGTGCAGCTGCGCTGTCATCTTGAGGATGCTCGCTGAAAACCCATTTGTCTCCGCGCGACAACCTGCGTTCATGTCATTGACCATGAGCGGCGCTGGCCGGATTTCACCCTGTGCTGTCGCCCACGCGGCAATCCAAGGTCACAACACCTTGTCGACCCCTAATGTAAAACAGTCTGCGGATTAAACACACTTGGGAGCTGGTCATGCCAGCAGGCATGGACATGTTGCAAGCCAGGCAGCATGACCAACCCCTGACACACGGGCTGCGGGGAATCGCATGCAGCATTCATAAACTTTGTTTCTGCCCCCCACCCCCCGGCATGCGACGACTGCCTTGGAGAGTATTCACACAGGTACTTGTGCAGTGCATGACGCATGTCGACACGTTGCGGGAGCCAGGCTGTGCAGGGCCCCTCGTCTCCCACAGGAAGCGAAGGCCGGCAGAAGCTCAACCGACAGAGCTTCCCAAAGCTCAATTAAACCAAGCAGCCAGATGGCATACGGCGGGTGGCCCAGCCGTCGTGCTTCCTTGCATTTGTTGGGCCTTTGGCATTGGTGCTGAGGTCCTGTAAATTCTCATTGATGTGCTCGCTCATCGTGGCGTAGCCGCCGCATGTACCAAGTGCAGGCCTACATATTTATGACATTCCTTGCACGTGCGTTGCAAAGCAATGGCCGACTAGATTTAACAAGAGAGGGGAGACGCCAGCAGCATGCATGGGTGGCCAGCAGCATGCATGGCTATACACGAATCATCTTGCATGCGGGCCACCGGCTAGCAGCACCATGTGCCGCGTCCGCGCCCCTCCACCCGCCTTTTCACCAGGGCCGCGGGAACCAGCTACGCACGTAATTCTAGAATGGACGTTTTCAATTATCAGCCTCTGCCTATGCAACACCGCGTGCTTGATTGCTCACTGCCTGCATCAGCTCATGAAGTACAGGCACGTTGCTGTTACGCACAGCGTCACATCAAACATGGCAAGCGGCAGCGCCAGTTGCGCGCCCTGCTTGCTGGCCTGCCTGGACTGCATGCAGCGTTGCATCTGCTGCCTGCTGCAGAGGGCATTGTGCCAGCTGCGCTTGTTGTGCAGAGATGTCCACAAATGCTTGAGTGAAAATTGGGGCATCTGATGCTGCTGCCCAGCCCCACGAAGCTCGAGAGACACTGTCATGGCAAGGCTTGCACAGGCGTTTCGTGTAGTGCTGCCCACGCCAGGAATGTGGCCACCACTGCGGTCCATCTATCCGTGTGTGCACACGCTCAACGGTTGTGTGATGACATCTGCCAAGCCTAAGCTTCCGGAAGGGCTCGTGGTAATGTAAACGAATGGAGTTACAGCAAGAGTGCAGTTGTGAGCTCCACATCGATATCGAGAGGGGCGTGCGGGGCCTCAACCCAAAGAGTGCACCCAAACAGGTGCTTACTGACATCAGGATTGCCTCACATTTATGTGTGCAGAAGTTTCATTGACGACACGCTGTGCCACATGTAATTTCTCTGCAGCCACGTGGCCGCTTCTTCCGTGGCAGCGATCACAGTCAGCGCTGGCCATCACCTGGTGCGGCCTGCGCTGTCGCTGCTCCGTCCCCGCGGTCGCCTCCTGCGGGCACGTCCGGGGGCGCCGACGGGTTCGCGCCGACGAGGCCCGGGCTTGAGGCCAGCAGCGGCCACCTCGAAGGCGGCGGCATTGCAGCACCCAGTGCAACTTTGCGCGGAGCGCCATTAGCCGGTTGAGCCTGCCAAGTGCCCGTGCTGCCCTGGAGCTGCTGCACGACTGTTTCTGCTGGGGGCAAGAGCTGAGCGCCGGCGCCGTCACGTGCATCACCCACCTGCTTGCTGCGCCGCCGCCGGCGGCCCGCGCTGCCGCCCCCGCTGCCGCCGCCGCCCCGGTCGCTGCCCCTCCCCGGGACCGCGCGGTGCCGCGCATTGGCCGCCACCAAAGCGGACACCGCCGCGACGGCCGCCGCGCGCTGCTCGGCGCGCAGCGACCACATGCGCTGCGCGCGGCGGCTGGCGCGCCGCGGGGGCGCGTCCTTTCTGGATGCGTGCATTAGTGACCAGAGCATCAGCTGCGGGTCGGCCTCAAGCAGCTGCCCCAGCTGCTCGATTGCCGCGGCATATTCCGCGGAGCCACGGCACTGCTGAGCTGCCGCTGCAGCGCTGAAGTCCCAGCTGCCCTCCTCGTCGCTGCCCCCGTCGCCGCTGCTGCCGCCGCCGCCGTCGCTTCTCCCGCCGCTGCTGCTGCTGCCGCCGCTGCCGCCGCTGCTGCCTCTCACATGCAAACTGCTCGCGGCCTCCGCGCGGCCCCGGCGCGAGCCGCGGACTGAGTGGTGATTCAGGGCCTGCGACTCTGGGCGCCGGTCAAGCCCAGGCAGCTCGCGGCGCCCGGCCAGAAGGTGCGGGTGTGGGGGCGTGCCGCCCAGCCATGCCTGTCCAGCAAGGACGCCGTTGGGCCACTGATAATTGGCCTGCGCATTCCCCGATGCCAGGGCTGCCACACCGCCTGCTGCGGGTTGTGGAAGGAACCCGCCGCGCCGCGCCGGAGCCAGCACCGACTGCTGCTGCTGCTGCTGGCGCTCCTGCTCCTGCTCCTGCTGCTCCTGCTGCCAGCGTTGCTGCACCACCGACTGCTTGCTTGGCGGGGCCGGCTGCCGCTGCTCGACCTCATCCTCCTCCTCATCCTCCCCATTGACGCGGCCGCGCCGCCGCATGTCTTGTGGGTCACCTTCCTCGTGAGCCGACGGAAGATCCTGCCATTCTTGCTCCTGCTGCCGCTGCCTCTGCTGCTCATGCTCCCGCTCCTGCCCTGCAGCACCCCACGCCTGCTCTGCACCCGCGGCCACGTGCGCGGCGGGGGCGTCGCCCTCTGGCGGTGGCTGCGTGAACGCCAGGACGGCCGCGCCCAGCGCCGCTCCAAGCTGCGCCCACTCCTGCTCCTGCTCAAGCAGCAAGCCGTGCTCGGCACCGACGCCGCCCTGCTCGTGCTCCTGCACCTGGTCTTGCGGCCGCCGCCGGTGCGGCGTTGAGCCCTGTAGCCGCGTCTCCAATGTCAAACGGTACTGTTGCTCAACGGGCTGCTGCAGCACGGGGAACGCCGCAGCCTGCTGCCCCTGTGAGGGTTGAGGCGGGGAGCTTTGTGGCTGCTGAGAGACAGCCTCGCATGCGTGCTGTCGTCGATGCCGCAGTGGCTGTTGCTGCCAAGCCTGATGCGGCTGCTCCAATGCAGCCGGGTCTTTTGAAAGAGGCACTTGCTGCTGCTGCTGCTGCTGCTGCTGCTGCTGCTGCTGCTGCTGCTGCTGCTGCTGCGGCGGCGGCAGCTGCTGGTGATTGGACCCTTGTAATAGTAGCTGCTGTTGAAGGGGCAATTGCACAGCAGTTGCCGCCAGTTGCTGGTGGCGAGCCTGAGACTGGGCAGCCGCCTGCGCCGCTGGGCTGGTTGGCAGTGACGGCTGCGGCTGGGCCTGTCTCTCCAGGGGTAGCGGCTGCTGCTGCTGCTGCTGCCGCAGCAGCTGCTGCTGCTGCTGGTGTTGGGGCTTCTGCTGCTGCTGCTGCTGCTGCTGCTGCTGCTGCTGTTGTTGCTGCTGCTGCTTCGGCTGCGGCTTTCGCCGCCGCCGTTGCCGTGCCCCGCCTCCTCGCAGCGCGTCGCCCTCATCGCTGTTTCCGTCGCTCTCAGCCGTGCACGTGGCCATCCCCGCTTCAGCGCCCGCGCGCGCGAGCTGCTGCACCTCTGCGGGCACATCAGCGCCGAGCACCTGGCAGATTGCCATGGCCGTCGCAGCGGCTGCGCACGCCTCATCGTCCTCCGGCGGCCGCGCCTCAAAGTTCAGCTTCGCGCTGTCACCCAGCAGCATGGAAGCTGCCCGGTCGTATGCCAGCGCCGCGTCGCGCTCGTTGTTGAACCTGGGATCCGGCGGAAGCGCAAGGGGGACAGCAACATGGGGGTGAGGCTCGCAAGGCGCGTGGTACATGAGGCGGGGAGCGGGCAGACGCGGCATCAGGGCGTGACGGTTTCTGGGCAGGGCGCAGCGGGTGTGCCGCCGAGGACGAGGGAGTGGCGTCCCCGCACCTGCCCAACGCAGCGCGCACCCCGCTGAGAAGGATGCCATTCAGCACGCAGCAACCACCCCAACCCGAGCACAACGCACACCAGCACCCCAGGCACCCCCACATTGTGTGTGTGTGTGGGGGGGGGGGGGGAGCGGCCCGGATGCGCCCCCGTGCGGACCTGCCAAGGTGCACTGTCTGCTTGCCAAAGCGGATGCGGCAGCGCCACAGGCCGTTCTCGGTGGAGGCGACACCGCGGAACTGGGACGTTTTGCACCGCTTGTTGCCCTGCCGCGGCGAGGGGCGGGCACGCTTGGCCTGGCCCTGCTGTCGCGGCAGGCCCCACCAGCCCTGCTGCTGTTGAGCCTGCTGCTGCTGCTGATCCTGCTGTTGATCCTGCGGCTGGTGCTGTTGCTGCCGCGCCTGCTGCTCTGCGTCCGATGTGACCGCCGTGGACACGGCCGGCGCCGCAGTTGCAAGGCTGGGGGCCGGAAGCAGCACCGCCCATGGTGGTGTGTTCCCAGTCGTAAGGCCCGCCAACATCTGGGTTCTGGGTGGAGTGTCCAATCGCGACTTCTTCGTTCGTGCCGAGCTTCGGAACGCCGGTACGCGAGCCAGGCTCGAACGCAGTCTGAAGCTTGATTGTGCGCGCTGTGCAATTCCTCGACGCGGGCTACGGTATGACGGTGCCCTGGTGACAATGTCTGGAGGCACGACTGGTGCCCGGGTTACCGGTACGATTGAAGCAAAGGTTTTGTACTGATAAAGTAATTGCGGACCGCCGCTTTCATGTCGCACAAAGGCCTGAGCCAGGTGTCACCCGACTGCGCTGCGTTTTCCAAACGTGCACACCCAGGTTCACACAGCACCAACAGGCACATCCCGAGCGCTTGGCAACTTGTTGCGACCCAGCCCCCGCTTGGTTTTAGAGCCATGATTTTCGGGTTCCTGGAGATCTGGTTCCAGTGTCGTTGGGCGCGCGTGACGGTCCTGGGCCACTCCCCGCCCCGCCCCTGCGGTGGGGCAAGTGGCTGAAATGGACACAGTCAAGGCAGTAGCACCGGCGCTGCCGTGTTCGGTCCTGGCCAGGATGCAGCGCAAATGTACGCGCGAATGCCAGCCAAAATTTGGGTCAAGCCTGCCTGCGGTTGACCTTGTCTGGTCACAACGTCCGAGAGGGCCCGTCTGATCGGTGGGGGCTGGCGGGCTGGCGCCACAGAATCTCCCCGGTTTTCCACTCGCAGGACAGGAGAAGCCTTGAGGACATCTGCGGCGTGTCTTGTGATAGTGCAGCCGCAGCAGCGCGAACCGGGGCAGCCTTCAGCAGTGACACGTCATCTGCTGAACCCAACAACTTCAGGCCCCGCACTGGCTCCACCCTGACTGTTCCAACACCAACATCCAGGTTTGCCCATTTACTGGCTATACAACGACCGCCTATTTTTCTCATTGTGCTTTGGATACCTTAACAGCAGCGCACTCTGGCGCACATACAGCGCTTGCTAAGCGCCCCTCTTCACCCGCAGGCCCTCGCCCTTCACCCTGGAGAGCTGTCCCGCCTGCTTGCCTGCTGCCTCCCCCCATAGCCCCCCTTCCAGTCTGTTGTGTAGAACAAGTTGGTTTGAGCCGTCAAGGAGCCAGAAAACGAGCACTATGCCTCGGCACAATTACACCATGTGCTACCAGAGACAAGGCAAGCCCATCAGAGCCGGGCGCCACGCCGCCGAGGGGGCGGCGCAGGCCGCAGGCACGTGGTCGCGTCGCTCCCACATCGCCAGGTGCATACGCGCGTCAGCAGACGTTTGTTGTGTGAACGGCAGAGAGCAGAGGAGTCGAATCCGGCGAGCTGAAGACCTTGTGAGCTCCCAAAGACCGGCGAGGGACGAGCGACGACCGGGGTCGCCGCCCGCCCTCCCAGCCTTTGGTGCGTCCGTGCAAAGGGGACCGGCGGGCCAGGCCCCAGGGAGGCCCCCGAGCCAAGCAAGCGCAGCCCCAGCTGAGCCTGCCGCTGCGGCACAGAGGGCGGGAAGGGGGCGAGCATACAACGGAGGGGACGCGAGTCAGCTCGAGCGCATGACATGTGTGCGTGCACTGCGCGCCCCAGGCTCGCAGCATGCAAGCAGCCCTTCCATGGCGGCCTCAAGGGTGCCCCTGCCCGCCAAGCAATGGCCAGGCTGCGCCCCTTACAACACATGCACATGCACATGCGCGCACGCGCATATGCTTTCACGTGCGAGTGTGTGCGTTTGCGCACCTTAGTAGATGCGGACGGGCTTGCCCATGGTGGTCTTGATGTAGAGGCAGCGCACGTTCTGCCACTGCTTCTTGAGCAGCGACACCAGGAAGTTGACGCTGTACATGATGTTGGTGCGGATCTGCGACTCCTCCATGCTCACGTTGGCCACGGCCACACCCATGCACAGCACCTTCTTCAGCTGGAACTTGATGGACGCCTTGGTCTCGTTCACCATCTCCTCCACGGACTTGCTGGCACCTTTTGGGGGGCCAGGCGGCGGGCGGGGGCAGCAGGGGTCGAGTGCGTTCAGTGCGTGGCTTGGAGGGAGTGCGCCCTAGCCGCACAGGCACAGGCAGCGCAGTGGGGGCTGCGGGGCTTGCACGGCTGGCGATCAGGACAGACTTCGGAGCTACCACTGGGCACAAGTGCAGCCGCGCCCGCCCCAAGACGTACGGCCCGCGACGCCGCCCTGCGGGCCTCCCTTAGCCCCCGCTGCGCGCCCCGTGCGTGTCCCCCGTCTACCAGCCCCCTCACCGATGGGGGAGGGGAACTTGCCGGCCTTGTTGAGGCCAGGGCCGAGCAGACGGGGGATCTGCTTGATCACCGCCTCAGAGGCCAGGAAGGCGTGGTACTGCTTGGCCAGCTTCTTCACCAGCTTCTTGTTCTTGTTCAGCTTCTTCAGGTCCTCCACGCTGCGGCTCTCCACGCCGATGGACTGGGCCTGCGGGG